GTCGGAGAAGGCACCGTCGTCAATCGAGAGGCCATCGGGCAGCGGCAGCGTGACGGAGGCGAGGGAGGAGCAGCCCCAGAAGGCGCGCCAGCCGATGGAGGTGAGGCCGGCGGGGAGGGTGACGCGGGCAAGGGCGGAGCAGCCGTCGAAGGCGTTGTGGCCGATGGAGGTGAGGCAGGCGGGGAGGTCGATGGAGACGAGCGAGGAACAGCCGCGGAAGGCGTTGGTGCCGATGGAGGTGAGGCCGGCGGGGAGGGTGACGGAGGCAAGGGAGGAGCAGTTGCGGAAGGTGCAGCTGCCGATGGAGGTGAGGCCGGCGGGAAGGGTGACGCGGGCGAGGGCGGAGCAGCCGCAGAAGGCGCGCCAGCCGATGGAGACGAGGCTGCTCGGGCAGGCGACCGAGACGAGAGAGGTGCGGCCGCGGAACGCATCGTCCGGCAGGTGCGTCATGCCTTCGGGCAGCACCGCGTGCCCGTCGGCGACGACGACCTTCCAGCCGCCCACGTGCAAGGTCTCGGAGCCGGGAGGCGCGGCGTCGCCCGGTGGCGGCGCTGAAGGCGTCGAGGCGGGCACCACCATCGTGCGGAAACAAAGAAATGCGGAAGAAATAGGTCTGCGTGCTACCTCTCGAACGGGAGTTGGTTGGTCGTTTCTTTGAAATTCTCCGCGATACTTGAAAGAAACATGCGGAGAAAAAGAACACATAGTGCCCCCCCCGCCTGGCCCTGACCCCTGGTGCCTGGACCTCTCCTTTTTACACTCCTCGTATAGGGGGACCCGTTTTGTTTATGTTTTCCGGAGCTAAGAAACCACGGCGTGGGGTGGATGAGGGCTGTGGAAAGGCTTGGAAACAGCGGCGTGCCGCGAAATCCTGTTTTCTTAATGCCCGCAACCCACTGTGGATACCCATCACTGAGCCGACGATGCTATGGGTAGCCCCAGGGTGGCGCCCACCCCCATGTGTCGATATGACATATGTGCGTAGGGGGTGAGGAGATGCGAGACATATGTTGTGAGTGTGCAATAGCGTGTTTTGTTCATTTTACAACCAACCTCTGTCTGTGACAGGCCTCGGAGTATAGCTCCGTCACTCGGGAAGCACGCACGCACACACACATACACACACATGGCGAGGCGAGCGTTTAGCGAGCCCGTAAGCTAGAAAAAACGCTCCGACCACAAAAAAGGCCCGCGCGTGCCGCGCGGGCCGGCGAGCGACTAGCGAGCCAACCCGCTAGTCACAAAAAAAGCCGCAGGTCATGCTCCACCATCCCTTGTCGTTGTCGGCGCGCCCCATCCCTTGTCGTTGTTCGCGACGCCGCGAATGATAGAGCAACCACCCTCGCTGGCCACCCAACCACGCGGCAGGGTGGCCCTCCTCCTCTCCGCTGCGCTTTTTTCGGCGCTGCTCGTGCTGTTTGCCGGCCGGGCTGCGGCTCTAGCTGCGCTCATCTCGAGCAGCGCCCGCGAGGCGGGCGATGCCACAAGCTGGTATCCGGGGAAGGAGGCGAAAAGCTGGTACCCGGGCAAGTACGCGGCGCTGACCGCGCGGACCACCTCCAGCCTACCCACGATGCCGTCCCGGCTCGAGTCGTTCAACCAGTGCGTCTCCCTGCAGCACGCCTACTTCCTCAAGCTGGCGATCAACGACATGCTTGCGACGACCCTCTGGAGCGACCTTGACCCCGGCACTGCCGACGCGAGCATCGGCCTCGAGCCGCAGGCGGAGCCCACGGAGATCACCGGCCCGCCGGTAGGCAAGGCGTGTGCTCTCGCCTGCGCAGGCGAGATTGGCGGAGATCTGCGCTCCGACTGGCCGGGCGCCATCTGGAGCCTGGGCGGCTGGATCGGGGCGGGAAACCTGACGGCGCTCGGGTCCTCCCTTGGGTCGGCGCTGGGCGGCTCACGCTGCCGCGAGGTGACGCGCGCCCCACCCGGCCTTCGGCCTCACGGCTCACGAACCATTCGCGACTCACAAGCTCACTCGACAGGTGCACACTCCGCCATTCAATGAGCACTGCACTCCTCTCGTAAAACACCACCCGCTCGCCTTTAATGACTTGGTGACTGACTGGCTGTGGCGGGGCGGCGGGGGCGCGGCGCGCGGGGTGCGGGGTGCGGTGCGGTGTGTGCAATCGTGTGTTTGGCGTCATGTGTATCGAAGTCTAGCTCAGGTGCACACTCCTCTCACTGATTGCTTACTTGCTCGTTCACTCCCCAGGTGCACACGGTCCACTCGCTCGGCGGCTCGATCCTCGGCGCCACCGCGGCGCGAGGCTGCTACCCCTTTGCCCCTGGCACCGGACACGACCCCTGGCCGTGGCCCGACACACGTAGGCGTCAAGGGGCTCGAGGCTGCGCGCCTTGGACGTGCGCCGTGAGTAGCTTCTGTCACGAGGTCAGCGCCGCCCTCACGGCTCGCTCGCAGGTGGCGCGCCTCGAGATCGACGCCGGGCGCCCCTGCAACCCGGCGGCGGCCACCTTCAACGTCTCGGGCTCCGTCCTGTTCGCCGTCGGCGGGGGCGCGCTCGACGTCGGCTCGGCGCTTGAGCATGCGATCGACGAGGTCCTGTGGAGGAACGGGCCGCGGCGGCGCGGCGGAGGGAAGCTCGAGGTTCGCTCGGCGGTGTCGTCGCACTCGGTCTGCGAGATCGAGGGCAGAGCGGCGGCATAATACAATAATATTAATAGAATAAGA